ACGGACGGACGGACGGACGGACGGACGGACAGACGGACAGACGGACTGGGCTATATCGACTCAGCTCGCCATCCTGATCAAGAATATATATACTTTATGGGGTCTGCGATGATTCCTTCTGCCTGTTACATACTTTTCACAAAACCATTATACCCTGATTTCCCATTTTCAATGGGTTCAGGGTATAAAAAAAAAAAATTAATAAAATTATTTCCACTTTATTGTATTTTATACTTTTATAAACATTTTTTATGATATGCATTGGAGTATTTAGAGTATTTGGAGTATTTATTTTAATAGGGAAAATTGACGGAAACGTATTTCAAGCTTTTCTTTTCTGGTCAAAACTAAGTAACCAAAACTACGCACAAAATATGTGAAACATGTATAAACTTTATTCTATTATAATGTATGTGTCTGGGCAGGTTTAGTCCGGGAATACATTATTTCAAAACACAGTATTATATTACATATTTTTAGCTAAGTTTGCAAATTTCGAATATATTTAATTTAACTAAAATTACAATTGCCCCCAAGCAAGATGGATAAGAAGGAGAAGGAGGTAAAACTCTCCGCTGATGAGCGTCAGTTCTTTGTTGCAACTCGCATGAGTTTGCCGCTGTTTATGCTCTCGCGTATGTACATGAAATAAAATATATAATATTTCTTGAGGGTTAACATTTAATTTTAGGTAATCGTCTGCGTGAGGATAATTTGGAAAGTGTACAAAAACAGTTTAAGCTAGCAGGTGGACATTACAATGCGTATTGTCAGCAAGGTAAATATAATTGAATGCTTTAAATATAAATGAAATGAATTATTAATTATATTATATATATATTGACTTGCAGAAAATCGTAGAGAGGAATTTAGTGCCGCCACGTATAATCATTATAGACATGTGACGGGCTTTGAGAAGACGCCGGCCACTCCATATCCTCCCAAGCGTCCGTTGCGCTCCAATCGGGAGATGACCACATGGCGTGGCTATCAGCATGCGCCGAATCGATATGGCGTGCTGCCCGAGCCATATAAGAGTAGGATGGGCTCCAAGGGCTCCGTCTTCGCTAAAATGCACGTGAACAAAAGCCGAGTGAGCATCAAGCCGCCKCCGCCCAAGTTCTACGAGGTGCCATCGGAAATCGAGCGCTTCTTCAGACCGGAGAACAAGCAAAAGGGCATATTCCTAACAAGTAAGAGAAACTGGAGATATATATACCATTTCTTCTTCTTTGTAACTCTGCCTGCTAGATGCTCGTGAGCGCCGTCCCTCGTCACGTCTCATGGTATCCGATGCGACCATGTGCTGGCGTAATCCGAGCGACCCGGGTCCCTGTGAAACTTATTACAATCGCTTTGAGATTCAGTCGATCGTGTCGCCCAAGATCATAGAGAAGCCCGACAATCCTCACTTGTTCCTGCGTCACTCCTGTGTGCCAACGAAGCGCAGCCGAATCCTGCGACCCCACATTAGCTTCGAGCCGTGCCCCGGACGCTATGACATACGCTATCCGAACGTGTGCGCCTGTGAGCGGGGCAAAAAGACGGTGCCCCGGCTGACCATTCACATTGAGACACAGAAGCGGTACAAGTTCCGACGCTTGCCCTACGTCAAGATCAGAATGCGCAAATATTGTGAGCCCGACTGGCGCCATGTGATCGGCAATGGGCATAGGCGCCTCTTCAAGATGGGCAAACACGACTTGCCCAAGCCGCAGATGAAGAAGGTGGAAAAGAAGGGCGGCAAGAAGGCCGAGAAGCAGCTGAAGATGTTCGCTGATGCCAAGTACTTGAATATGCTGGTCAATCCAAGGCATCTGTCGATATCAAGACGCGACTTTCCTGCACCGCCCTATGTGCCACGCATCGTCTACAATTGCATTGCCAAGCGGGTGATACGCAAGCAGCTGCGTAATAATAAGAAAATCGCCTTCATGAGCGGCCAGGAGCGCTGGAAGGACGGCGTACGTGTGCTACAGATGACCCAGCGCCAGCTGGAGGAGATCAAGGCGCGCCTGCCCGAAGATCGCCGTCTCGAGGATCGTCCGATCAATCTGCGCGCCTCAAAGATGCTCAGCCGCCTGTTCATCGTGCCCGACCGCATGCGCACAACCTATGTGCCCATGCTGCGGAAGCGACTCTTCAAATTCCTGCCCATACCGGGTGCTCGGGTGCTGGTCACCGATAGCGATATACGCCCGGACTTGCCATTCGATCGCGACAATCCGACGGGCATGTACAATGTGAAAATAGACGAGACGAAATTCTTTCGTGATTCGGTGCTGCTGGAGATGGAGCAGCAACGCTTGGGCATTAAGGTACAGGTCGAGGAGAAGTCCTTGGAGCAGTCCATGAGCGGCGTCAGCATGACGGCTTCAATGGCCTCTGGCTCGCAATCGGAACAAAATACAGCCAGATTAACCAATTATATGGAAGCCAAGCCAGAAGAGTAATAAGGTGTGTGTGTGTGTGCTCTCTGTGCTCTCTACCGTATTTGAGATCGCGCATGAGCATCACGTTTACATAGTTCTATGATTTATGTGCCATGCTCCAGTAAATTTTAAAGCCAGCAAAACTGTCTGTGCTGCACACTTGCGACTCCTGGCGCTCGCTGCCATAAAGCAGCAAAACGTAACTTTTGACCATAAAATAAATAACTTTTCAGTTGTCCGTCGCCCAAGCTTGGTTTCCGTCTCACTCCCTCTCTCTCTCTCTCTGTGTGGCTA